AATTTTATGAAGTTTTCTTCAAAATAACGTAGTTTAGAGAGTTGGAGAAAATGTAAAAGGTATATGACTACGTGTAGTCGGATTACCAAATCTTTGCGAAATAGACGCTTGACATAAATATAAGTTAGCTCATAAGAACTAACCCGATCTTATCCGTGGGAAACTATAGAGTCTGCAAATTCAAAATTTTATTGCTATCAATTTCGAGTCTTAACTTCATGTGGAACCTGAAGTGAGCAACATTTTCTGGAACTTGATATATCCTTTGCAAAAATAAGCACATGATGTACGCAGACTGGATAGGTGCATACAAGCAGCGGGATTTCCGGCTAGACATGACCGTGTCTACGGTAACTTCGATATAGTTTGAGTTTTTAGTTTTCAAAATTTAGACGCAAAAATTTAAGTGGATAGTATACATTAGAATTTTCGAAGAGAATCTTATTATTCAAATAATCAAATAGTCTACCGGAATTTTCAATTCAATGAGTTCAAATTTGAATGAAGTTTTCATATATTCGATCCTGCCTAAACCAAACTTGAATTGTGCTCTGTAATTGCTTTGCTTAATACCCTCTACAATTTCTTTTTATCGTGATACCATTTAATAAAACTGTGCTTCAAGATCGAAAACAACTTCTCAATTCTTCTTCCATCGAACATACATGTTAGTCACGTTTGGAACCGATGCACTTCGCTGATCGAGAAGGACCGGCAATTATACTTATATTTCGGAAAGATATCATCTGCTTTTATTGCCATAAGTTGACAGTCTCTATAGATCGGGCAACCTATTACCAATCTTTCTCAATCCTTGTGATGCTCTTTGCAGATTTACAAAAAAGTTGGATATGCCAATAGATTTCTCTTCTATATCTTCAGCCGATGTGTCGTTTCATTAGATTTATCAGGTTGGTGCAAAGGAAATGCAGGTTTTGTTTTAGTATGAAGGCCTATCAAAAGCGAAAATCGAAGCTGATCCGCATGAGATATTGCTGAGAAGCTCAACTTTAACCCGCTATTGTTGTACGCCATTTGAAGCAAATGGGAAGAACTTAAGTAGAAGAACCTGCATTTCTTTTGCACCAACTCAATACTTTACCATACTGATTGAAACTGTTAGATCCCTCGATTAATTGTTCGCGGTAGGTTTATCGACGTGTAACCACGGCGTATCTTTGCTCAAGGCAATAGACTAATAGAATAAATGCAGTGACTCAACATCAACAGAAGTTGGCAGATGATATGTAACCCAGAGCCGAAAGATTTTCCGGCTTAGCTATCATGGCATGGTTTACTTCCTGGTTTCGACAGGCCCGCCTTTCTAACTGCTCCCTCAAGCACGATGTGCAGCTCGTTGCTGACTGCCTTGACACTATACTTCTTCTACGCCCTTTTGCGCACAAGCTTAAGGACTACCATGACTTCTAATCATCACAGTAGTAGCAGGAGCCCCTTTTTGTAAATCAAAAACCAATGAATTTGGGGTGCTAGTAATCTAGCCGAAACTCTGAGTCAACCATCATCATCATCATCATCACAGATAACTCGCAGTTTCGTTTTAAATGAAGACACTGCAAGTCATGGGAAAAAATGTGGTTGCAAATCCATCTGACCCCAGCAAAATTGAACTCGGGCCTGCCCTCCTTTAAAACAGTGTCCGTGCAAGTTTCCAACTAAGGATTTTTCACCTTTTCTTGATTATTTCGGTGTGCTAAACACGAGCTGCAACTTCAGTTTCCGTAATTATCAAAATGGAAAACA